GTTTAGGAGGTTTGAATAGATTGGAATCGCATGTTAGATGCAGTAACTGTTAATAAAAGCACAGTAGACCATTGTAGGTCGCGGTACAAGGGCCGAGAAGGCCTACCCCTCATACAACTGTTAATAAACTTCAAATCCAGTGACATGTGTACACAATCAATATATTGTTTAGTCACTGCATATTCTAGGTTGTGATTCCATATGCTTGCTCAGTTTACTTCTTGATCCTGAAGATGGAAGCAGCATGTTCCTGTGAAATGTCAGTAAACTTTTAACAGATTACATAGTGTCACATCTCAAAAGAGAGTTCTCCTCATAGTCACCAATCCAAGAAACTCAGATCTAACAAAGAGTACACTTTTGCCCAACAATTCTCCAGGAACAATCCAGAACATTCTTGAAATAGTATGTTTTAGCTTTCATGTTATGTCTGTAAATACAGTCATAGTGCAGGCCATTCACTATATGGTTAAAAAATAAAGTATTTATGGTTGTATGTTGTCTATCCTTTAGTTTTATTACTGTTTATTCTTTATTTATTATATTTTATTTTTTATAGGGTTGGAAAGACAATCCAGTGGAATCTGACTCTGTTTTCGATGAATGTCGGTACACATGGTCCTGGGGAAGTCCTGACATACTTCCCATATTTGCCAAAGGTTTGTTGTTTTAATATGTAATGTATCGAAATACTTAACTTTATTTCTCTGAAGACATAAGATTAAGACTATGTAAGGTTGTAATCTTATGTAGCTTGGTAAAGAAGGAGTGAAGTTTTGGGTATCCCTAAGATGGAAGAACCATGTTTATATCCAAAATGTTTATTTCTATCTACCAAACTATACGTTGCAGGAAACAGTAATTTTAATATCCACCACAGTGAGAACCTCAAATGTCACCCTTGAAGACTTCTTTAAATGTAACCCTGCCTACCCTTGCTGCAACATGCAAATGGTAGCAAGTCCCTGGGATTGCATTGTTACCTTATTTTTAGATCTTCCTTGGTATGTATTAATAAATTTATAGTATTTTTTGGTCATGAAAATATCACACTCGCAGCTAAGAAGGGAACACACATCACAAGACATGGTTTACACTGAATATAAGAAAAACGACCCCATGCCAGTTTTAATTAAGACATATAAGATGAATAATCTTAACAAGTTTTAGTGTGTGAAAATTTATTATAGTTGACAAATATGCACTTTTTAAATAATTATAAAATGATTTATAAAGGCAAGCCATGAAATAGATTAGCGTAATTAGGGCACCTGATGATGGCACTATGTTGCCGAAACATGTCGTGAAGTAACAGGTGAAATTGAGTGCGCTATAAGACGGCCACTGTATACATATCATGGAAGATAATGTTGCCATTTGTGGATAAGAAGATGAAATGACTAACACAATCTCACAGATGTAGTATGGCTGTTTCACCAAAGCAGCCTTCTGTGTCTCAGAAGCATTGTTAGCTGACAGTGAGGTAAACCTTTCACATTTTTGTTCAGGTGCAAGTGGAAGCCATGTTTATATAGACGTGTATGGCTCTGAAGTTGAAGATTTCTCTGGAAGAAGATCCACAACAAGGCTTGATACATGGGTGTTTAGGAAGGTTGAGGAATTTCTGAACCGTGCCAAGACAGATGCTGTTCTTAATGAAAAACTTCATCAAGATAAAATTGTATTTTTCCCACATCTTCTTGGACTTGATACAGCTGGTCATACACATAAACCACATTCAGTGTAAGTGTTTAGAGTCTTACTCCAGTTACTTTGCCCTTTCAACCTTCAGTATGGGTTAGATAGTAGATAGCTTTCAGGTTTCAAAGCTGTTGTGGGCGTGCTGGTGATTCAGTCCTGCCAAAAATCAAATCATAGCTTTCCACTCCATGGGCAGCCACTGGTCCATCAGTAAGTACAGTAAACTGGGTTATCCTGTAGCTGGGCATCTGAAGTGCTAATTCAATGATGAAAAATTTCAAAGGAAATTTACCATGCTTATAAGTTACTCAAAAACATACTTGCAGTGTACATATATTCACCCTTCATTCAGTAGTTCTCGCAGCCGCCTGTAGTGCAGCTACCTGCCTTTCTGTGTGATGCAGTACAGTATATGTGATATAAATCTGTCATCCATCAGTCTGCCTTGTTACCTAGAAAGACAACTATGTACTGTTGTATGTAATGTTGAACATTGAGTTCTAGTAGCACCCCTGTTATGGAAATATTATAAGTTCACAATTTATTATTGTCCTTCCATGTATATATACGTTGAGATTTTTATGGCAGTGAATGTTCAGATTTTGGTATTCTGGGTTGTGACACCTTATAGCCTTGTAGGCAGATGCTGACATTTCAGAAAAATGGACAGGGACTAGTGGAGGACTCTTGTGAACACGGTAATGAACCGTCAGGTTCCATAAAATGCTGGGAAGCTCTTGAGTAGCTGCACAATTGGAAGCTTCTCAAGAAGGGCTCAATTCCATTTTGCCTACATTTTTGGAGCTGAAAGTGGAAACATTATTTTTCCCCACGATATCAGTATCTGCCTGCAAGACTGCATGGTGACACAGTCAAGAAGGCTAGATTCTGAAGACTTCTTCGGTCTATTTTTGCCTCTTCTGAGTGTCTTGTTTCCATTAAGTTTCACATTTTTTTTCCTATGATTGATATCTATAGAACATATCTTTATAATTTTCCCCTATATTTGCATTGTTTCTTGTTTTGAAACAGAGAATACAAGGAGAACATAAGAGTTGTTGGTGCAGGAATCAGAATTGAGGAAATGATCGAAGAGTTTTATCAACATGACAAGAAGACAGCTTATGTATTCATATCTGATCATGGCATGACAGACTGGGATGAGGAGCACATTATATACTTTCTATAAAAGATATTGTAAGAATTCAGGAAAGGTTAATCTTCTCAAATGTAAGGAAAACATAAATGCACCAAGGATGGCAGATCCTAAATTGGAAGATGTGCTGAAATACAACGCTCTAAAAAGTGACTAAATTGGATATTTTCTTCATCCTCAAGTATCATTTCCTTCTTATTCCTGTCAATGGGCAAGAAGTCTCCAACCTTTCCTGTTTTCCCAACGCCTTTGCTTTTTGATATCGTGCCAGCTCTTTCCTCTCTTCTTCCAATTTATCAAATCTAACTAAACTGTCTCTTTGTGGGTTATCCATTAGGTCTCTTTCCATAAAATTTGAGATACGGTGCCCATCTCCATATCCTTGTTCTGTCCTCTCTGATTAATGGGGGCAGATTATAACAATGCTGTCAGTTTCAAGATTATATAACAATGTGTGATAGGATAACTGATGAGTAGTGAATCATAAAGGGTTTGGATGGACGTTATCATGGCCTGATTGAGATACTCTTCTAAAATTTTCCTAGAGAGATTGAGGAAAACCATGAAATCATTAATCAGGATAGGTGGTGTCCTGTACAAGTTTTGAATCCAGGACCTCCTGAATGCTAGGCTTGCATTCAGGAGGTTCTGGACTGTTACATGTAGACCAATTTGAACTCCTCAAAACCTTTTAATTTTAATTTAGTCTCTTCATTATTCAGGAATCATCATATAATGTAGTGCTCTGCATTCTGAACTTTAAGTAAATAATAAGTAGATAAATAAACTGATGAATGTTTGTCAGAAATTTCGATCTCACACATTCCTTGAATTTATCCTGGAGGTGCTGGCAATTTTATGTGTGTTTGTAGGTTCCTATGGAGCAGGTGCTAAGAGTGAGACAGAGACACCCTTGGTTGCCTGGGGTGCAGGTGTGAGAGGACCCTGACCGAGTACAAGTGCTGAACCTTCCAGTCCAGCTTTCTGGAGACTGGGACATTTGTCTTGCAGTGATGTCAGTCAGGCAGATGTTGCACCACTAATGGCAAGCCTGATTGGAATCCCTGTGCCAGTCAGTTCTGTGGTGTGTCTTGGTTTTCTTTATTGACAAAATGTTTTAATGGCTCTTTTTTTTTTCAGTTCATGGGTTACTTAATAATGCTGTCAGTATTGAGACTGTATAATGTCAGATGATAGGAGGATAGATGAATGATAAACTGGAAAAGATTTGGAAGGAAGGAGTATAGCATAATGAAGGGTACTCTCCAAGAATTTTCCTGGCGGGAATGAGGAAAATCACAAAAAGCCTCATTTGGGGCGGCTGGTATCCCAGCCAGATTAAGAGTGATCACCTACCAAATACAAGTCTAGAACATTATCGCGAGAGCAGCCTGTTTGGTAGCAAATGTGTATTAATGCTTTCCCTATCAATGAACTGATCATATTTCTTCTTGACCTGTTTTGGTTGGTGTGTAGAGGTCAGATTTCTGTTGCATGTAATTTATATAGAGATATTCTAGAATCAAGCAAAATAATTGATTTTCAACATTTTCTGCTTCTTACTTCAGACAAAAGTCTGTCTTTGGTTATTCAGTTTTGATGAAACCAGCTGTGATATATGAATGTGAGCTACATGCACGAATGAAAATGACCAACTTATGTTGACTGAATTGTCATACTGTAGGTTATTGCCTTATTTGAACAGATCAGATATCTTGACGTAAAAATGCTTTGTTTGTTCATATACTGTTAAAGTCACGGTTGGCTTTGAAATAAATTTTGTTGCTGTATGCGCCTTAGAGGCAGAGTGGGCATTCTGACTGAAGAGGAAAGACCCTGTTCCTGCCAGGTATTGAAGCCAGGAAAGTTCATTGTATCTGTGAAATGGTCCTCTTGTGGGGAACTCTTCCACAAGCCTACCTGGAAGTCACAGAACATCACCTGTCTGAATTAATGTTTTCCAATGCGCGTCAGATGGTTGCACAGTACAAGAAATGAGAGCTCACTGAGGCTGGAAGTTTATCATGGATATATAGAGAATTCTCAGTTCTGAACAGAAGCAAAGAGACCAAACTTACTGACCAAATCCGTTCTCACATTAGAGCTAAAAGATACGCTGAATCCGTAAGTACGTTTTTGTCATTTTTATGTGTCTAGAAATACAAAATATTTCCTAGTGAAAATTTTACTGTGATGCCTCAGAATAAGTGTTAAAATATGTTCCATAGAACATGTTTCTCTGTGTCATAACTTTGGAAAAATTCTCTTTCTTTTCTTGTGTATTTGCATAACATAGTTATAAGATGTGTCTGAGTGTTACATATTTGTAGTTCAACCCATAATTTTGATGTGCCTTGTGTCTGCAAAAATGAGGTTATGATATTCCTTGCATAATAAAGATATTGGGCTCTAAAAATTAGGCTGCATACTTCAAAGTCTTCGCTGTTCTGTTGCCCATTTGATGTTCATGTGATGAATTATATTTTCCAAGTGTAGCTGTAGTAGAGAATATTCTGCTGCTTAATTCCAGAAGACTGAATAATGACACTATAACTATTATATTTTTTGGTATTAGATTTAAGTAAAATAAAGCTATCCCTGTAACAGGCCGTGAAGGCCCATAGGGTTGTGAGACGTTGAGGGTCCCACATTATCTAGACAATTGGCTCAAAGATGGCGGTAAGGTTGTCAGCCTTACGTGCCGGCCGCGCTTTACTCCCCAGGAAAATTATTTGACTAATTCCTGGCACTCATTTCTGTTACAGGCTGAGTCGACCCCAGGACCATAGTGTGGCTGGAAGGATTAGGTCAATTGAAAAAAATCCAACAACCTCATTGGGACTTGAACCCGCGACCTTCCGGCTTGTAACATTGTAGGTTACTTTATATTAAAGTTTAAAAAATTAGAGTTTTGCTTTAGGTTGTATTTACTGATGAATTATAATTAGCAACCGACCATCACATGAAAAGCCAAGCCTCTGTGTATCTCTGCCATCCTGAAACTCCTCATAATTTTCCTTCCATAGTCTTCCTTTCTTCTGTGTGACATTGTTCTTAATCTGTTGTACCCATCTTGTTCTTTAGTTTGGTAATTTTCCTCTTATTTTCATGTTATGATTCTTTATTCGTTCACAAAACTTGTCTTAACCATCTTAGTCTGTAATTTATTAATTTATCTTTCAATTCTACAATTTTTAGTTTCTCATGCAGGTAGCACACATGACAAAGTAATGTGGTTGTGAAAAAGAAAATAGTCCCAAGATTCTGATGGATATACACATTTTCAGCTCCAAAATACACATTTTTTTTTTTCAGATGCCAGATATTTATGAGTTTGTCCATCATAGATTAGTGCCCAATGAATATGAACACCCTAGCTCCAAAAGTAGGAGCCCTTCAGATGGATAGAAAAAACAAAATTCCAATTTTCTGAAAAACAATTAGAACAGTTTTCATTAAATTTCAGTAATTTATGGAGATCTTCTCCCTAAATAAAACAGCATAGGTTATGTCATCAGGAAAATAATGGTACACCCTCTAGTGGCCTGAACTCTTACATAAAGAAGTATGTGCAGTGGCTTCACACCAGAAGTTTTATATATTATTCTCACTCTTTCCTGGTTCTTTTTCAAAATCCCAAGAGAACTGTCACGGAAATATTTAATTGTATGTTTGTTTTCAGATTGTTGCAAGCGAAGAGCTAATAGCCTTGAGTCTCTTAGGATTGAACTATTACCAGAATTACTACCAGCGCCTTCTTCTAACTTGTGTAACTCTTGCATTTCTTGGTTGGATTGCCTGGCTTCTTCACTCCCTAGTTGGTGATGACAGCAGTCATAAAAAGAGCCCTTCATTTCTTCATGTCCAACATGATGAAGTATATCAGGAGCATGAGCTGTTGACCTTCACTCATTCTAGACTATTCAGAGGGGACTGCTGTGTGAATATTGCCTTTTTGTTCCTAGTTATTCTGACTATGAGTCTGATTTGCAGTAAGTAAAACTGTAATATTGTTCAGAATTCATATTTAATCCAGTGTTTTTCAGTCTTATCCATTTTGTTGAAGACTCAATTTAGACTAATGTATACTGTGCTTTTTATTCCAGTACAAATGTTACTCCTTCAATTCTATATATACTTTCTGCTTGCCGAGTTAATCTGGTGGGCTGTAGCTCAACACTGGGCTACACTTATGGCAGCCATATCTCATGTCAGGAGCTCAATGGGTCTACGAAGGTTATTGATGTTCTTCGTCTTCCATGTTATAGCAATTGAAATACTTGAATGTATGCCTTATATGATCCTTAGCCCTGTCTTGATCATGTTAATGTTGCACCTTGTTACATTAAGGGGTATCCAGCCCTAAATTTCAGTAAAATAAAATATTCTATATGCAAAATGAAAACAGACATTAAGGCGATTTACAGATCTGTGATGCATTTAGACAAGCACCTGAAAGAGCACATAGTGCCTTGTAATGGGCACCTACGCTGTATGGTGACCCAAGACAATGCCAAATGTATACACAAAACATGTCAGAGCAGCCCTTGCAAGTCTCTTTACCAAGCAAGTTTAGGGTTAGGCTTGGCATATGGATCTGTGCATGGTGTTATGTACGAAAGACTGAAATATCATTCTGACAGGCTTGACTTGGTCTGGAAGACGACATGCACAGATCAGGATGTGAGAGAACAGTCTGCTTTAGAATTGGTTTCCCATATCAAACAGGACATGACCTATCTCAGCAAATTTGTTTGATGATGAAGCAGTGTTTCATGTATGTGGAAGTCAACATGCGCGGCTACCATGTATTCCAGTTAATGAACATGAGCATTATTCACCAAATGTCAATGTATGATGCGCTATGATGAAAAACATCATCAGTCTTTTCTCTTTTGAAAAACTGATTTGGCTGATGGGAGCGCAGATATCTCAGTTGGTATAGCAATGAGTTGTGGGCTCGATGGCCTGGGTTCGATTCCCAACAGGGACAGGGATTTTTCTCTCTTCCATGGCATCCAGACTGGCTCTGGGACCCACTCGACATCCTATCCAGTGCGTACTGGGAGCTCTTTCCCAGGAGGTAAAGCAACTGGGCTATGAAGCTGACCGCTCATCTACATCTAGTTCTGAGGTCAAGAATGATGTAGCTATATCTCCACTTCTCATTACATCATCGTACTGGGAGCTCTTTCCCAGGAGGTAAAGCAACTGGGCTATGAAGCTGACCGCTCATCTACATCTAGTTCCGAGGTCAAGAATGATGTAGCTATATCTCCACTTCTCATTACATCATCGTACTGGGAGCTCTTTCCCAGGAGGTAAAGCAACTGGGCTATGAAGCTGACTGCTCATCTACATCTAGTTCCGAGGTCAAGAATGATGTAGCTATATCTCCACTTCTCATTACATCATCATAGTGTGGTGCTTAATTAATTAAGCACAGGGGAAACTGTGGTGACTGGTGGAAAGTTCTTGCTGTGATGGAGGATATTGCTTTGCATCATATAAACACTCTCTTTGAAAGCACTGGCTGTGTTGGGAGATGTCCAAAATAATAGTCATGTTAACTTTTAACATGTTGCTACTCCTGCACCAAGCAATCAGAGTTCTATAGCACAAGTAGTCCTGCGTCTTGCAATATATGTCATGGCATCCAAAATTTATATTATTATGTAATAGATGTTAAAAATATTACTGTGCACAGATTCTTGCCATACAGATGTACATGTTTATGTAAATGCTGAAAGTGTCTGAAGAACAGTGTTATTAAAATGTGTGTTCATATTTGAAGGTTGTGTCTTTCTTCTACCGTTCTTTTCTGAGTATTGGGATGCTGGGCATAGCAGTTTGGCCCATTGTCTTTCTACTAGCCCAACCAGTTCATTTGCCACTTCTCGCAGGCTGGTTGACCTCCTGTCTATTTCTGGCATTGTTTCTTCTGCTTCCTGTTGTAGGAAGAGAACCCAACACACAACTTGTGTAAGTAAAATCCTCTTAGACTGTGATATTTGAAAGCAGTTTTGCTTCTTTTGTGTTCTTTCCCATGCACAGAAATGAGGAAGTTGGTATTACTTTAGACTTGTATTCAAGGAGTATCTGATTTGAACTTCACTTAGGGTCCCTCTTATTTTTTGCAATTTTCATCATTCTTGCCAGATGAATATTCTTTTTATTGCTAGTGGGGTGGGACTAAGTCCCTTGTACTGCAGCCACTTCTTGCCTATTGTACCAACCCCAGATGATAGGTGAGGGTGATTGCGGAGCAATTGGTGGAATGAAGATTGGCAGGGGAAACCGAAGTACTCGGAGAAAACCTGCCCCAGCGCCACTTTGTCCACCACAGATCCCACTTGACCAGACCCGGGATCGAACCTGGGCTGCTGCGGTGAGAAGGCAGCGACTAACCGCATGAGCTATGGCGCAGCCTTGCCAGATGAATAACAATAGTGTGCGCTCCCAAGTTACAGAAGGAATGTATTCTGTTAGAGGCTGAGTAAACCCTAGGGCCCAGTGCAGCTGGAAGGATTAGGTCAACTGAAAAAATTAAAAAGCTTGATACCTGAGTAATATACACATCTCTGATAAGATGATAAATGAGAATCAGGTACATGAAGATGATCATTATTCATAGTGCCAGTCGTATGTTTACGAGTTATTTTTCAAAACCTTATCATAGTTGTTCTTAACATATGTCATAAGTGAAAGCAAATATACACAGGGAATTGGCAATATTTCAAGCTTTTTAAACAGGTCACAACAAGTGTGGGTTGGTCCCACTCCCATTATTATTATTAGTTTGTTCTGCATAAGAAAAACCTTATGACAATGAGGAGTTTTACCCCAGTATATTATTCCATATTTCACTAAAGAGTGATAATATGCATAGTATACAGATTTTAAGTTATTTATGCTTAGTACATATGATAATTTTCACATTAGAAATCCAACTGTGCTCAACTTGTGGAGTAACTGGTCTATATGTGCTTTGCAAGTCAGATGATTATCAAGCTGCAAACCCAAAAAAGTTGTCGATTCAGCTGTTTTCAACGTTGTATTAAGAAGCAATAGTGTCCAATAAAGGAATATGACGTAAGAATAATGAATGGTGTTGCACATAGATGGCACAAAAGCTCTGAAGTCAGATCTATACTGTTGTATATGGGTCTACAAGAGATGTATTGCATATAATGATGATATTAAATTACCTGTAGAAATAGGTACAAATACCAAGGTATTGCATATAATTGGATTATTTTAACAGAATATATGTATAAGCTGTGTAAGCTGTATTCTTCCACAAAGTGTTGTCAGCCGGCCGGATATCAATTGAACTTGTGACCCGAGACACTACGTCACATTTGGAGTGAGGGCCCGCACAGCGCTGGGAATAATACAGCAGCCGAGATTGAAGTTCAAGTGACTACTTTTGTAACCATATTTGGGCATAATCCGGGACTCAGTCTTTAATTGTAGTATAAAACCCCAAGGACTGACGCCCCAAGTGCTTTTAGAACATTCAACTAGCTGAGACTACTTGTATGTCAGTCTAATAGTCGGTACTGCCCGTAGCTTAGGCAGATAACCACTTCTACGTTTCCAGCAAGATCCTGTAATTCATTTGTTAGTAATAAAACTTCATTTGTATTACAACTGCTGAGAGGTACACCCCATTCTGCCTCCCAAGGGATCCGCTCGCCCAAGGCCAACCTTATCCCTCAACCGCGGGATACAACAATACAGTGCAACAAGATGCTGAAATTTAACAGTACTGATTTTATGCTTTTATGAAGGTTGAGTAGAAAGTGTAATTTTTCTGCACTTGACACGTACAAATTTTTGTAATTGGTATGTGTAATTTGTTGACTGATACTTTCTGATAGGTATTCAAAATTACTCTGCAAATTGCCTTCTGTTTTGTGGTCGGTATAATCAGTAAAGATAATTTTATGAGTGAATTGTAATTTTATCAAGTAGAAACATTTTAATATAAAAATATGTCAGTACAGCCTTACATGTTTTGGTGAACATTGGCGATCATCATAAAGTTCTCCAACACTACAGGGAAGTGCTGTGCATGTATACTGTATATTTGTCTCTTTATAGGGATTTTTTTTCCCATCACTTGACTGGATTACTATATTATCAAGGAGTGTGATGATTCAAGATTGCTTTTACTAAGATGATATTATGACCTATAACTCAGTGTAACCATCCTGTACCTCAGGAAGTTAGACACTGTGGGTCTTGATGTTCCTGAATTTAGTACCAAGAGGAATTTGTGGTCAGGAAAGTAGCAGTGTGACTACTTCCCCTCCAAGTCAGTCCTATAAAATGAAAAATGTTTTTCCTTAATAAGTGTGTCAGTTGTTCTACATTGTCGTCTCACTCTTTAGGAGTGGCAACATTGCAAGCATCAATTCATTTGATCCAAATTGGGTACGCTGCTTCGTGACGGTGTTTTCCCCCTTCATCATGACACTGCTAATCCTGTGGAAGATAATGATACCATTTCTGGCTGTGACTTGTATTTACCGTGCTCTCAACATTATTGTGCAGGTGAAGGGTTGTTGTTTTCATGTATATTAAATTGAAAGGTCGTTTACTGATTATAGGAAGAGGGTGAAGAGAAATTGTCTGCCCTCCCCCCCAACAGAGAATTTGTAAAGTGAACATGTATAAGGAATTTAATAGTATGCATCCTGTTGTGTGTTATAAACAAGGTACATAAAATCTATACAAAAGTATGCAGTCTACACAACAATATTCTGTATTTAAAACAAAGTGATCTTGATATGAAAGTGTCTACCTTGATTTAAATAGAGAATATTGTTGTGTAGACTGTGTATTTTTGTATACATTTTATGTACCTTATGTACAAGGAAGACTGGATTTGAGGTTCTCACTGTACTGACTGTGAACAATATGGTATCCTGGATTGTAACACCATGTAGTTTGGATGGATGATAAATGTAGCGCCTCTGCCTTTGGCTGAGCTCACTGCCTGATTCCGCTGGTTTCTTGCTCTGCTTACACTTCAACCCTGAAGATGAAGGTAGTTCCTCCAATAGGTCAGGCAGCTCTCCCAAAACTGGATAGCATTATAACCCAGAGGACTGTACTTAAGTGTAAGAGGGGTTACATCAGAGGTCAAAACATTTCTTGAAGGTCTGTTAGCCAGTCAGATATTTTGGTCATCAGCTAAAGGTGATCAGCATTTTCTGGTGCCTTGCTGTGACTCTGATCACTACACAAGATTCATTTCTTCCTCTTGTACAACCTGTCCCAAACATATGCTGGCCAAATGTGAGATAACAAAGAACAAATCTAATTTAGAGAGGAGAGTAGTTGTTATGACTTAGTCTATTGAAATTTAACATATGTGGATGTTTGCCATTTCCTCTGTGTCACAGGTAACAGTGAGATTTTCAGAACTCTAGAAGGTAACTTCCAAATGCCAAGTGGGAAATTAATTCCCAGCCTTCCTTCTGTGTGACATATTTTCTAATTTTGTGTTCCCATTCTTATTTCTGTCTTCCTCTTGGGTGTTTTATTCTCATGTTCAAAACTGTTTTGGGGGTTCTCTTTTCATTCATTCCTTAAAATTTGTCTAAATAATGTAATTCTGATAATTATTAATTTATATCCCAATATACTTATGTTTAAATTATCTCTCTTGTTCTTGTTCTTATTCTGTACTGCTCCCCTTCTATTCTTCATAAAAGTGTCACCTCATTACTAGTAATGATATCGTAAATTTATGATTTGCTTTTGTACTATTTTAATGTTCTTGTAATATAGATTTATTTTATGTGAATATTGTTTGATTTGCAACTGAGCACAGGCTCCAAACCACATTGGAGGACTAGTATAGCTCCATTCACATCTTTGCCAGTCATGAGGATGTGGGTAAACATAATGTTTTGTTTGCTCCAGGCACCAACAGGGAAGCTGTTTTTCCATTGTCCTGATATTCGGTGATGCAGTGGGTCTTCATTTCCTTCACTTGGTCACTAATCATGGAAGTTGGCTTGACATTGGTACCTCTATCAGTCATTACGTCATTGTACAGACCACATTGTTGTTCTTGGTTCTACTGTATGGCCTAGCATGTGTTCTAACCAGTATTTCACTCTGGCCACTACTGGAAGCAGATGGACACTGTCACCTTCTGAGATACAAGTATGAGAAGTCTCGTGTCTCATTGGAATTGGGTCAGCCCCAGAATAAAAATAGTGTCACACATGTAACAGAACAAAAGCAACATACAGAATAATGTTGCTTTATTTATAATTCTTGAATATGTTTCATTTCATATAATAGTGTTTCCCAATGAGTGGTCTGTGGCTTTATTTATACATTCCTGACACTTTAGTTAGTAGTACCATAGCAAGAAAACTACTGTTTTCAGGCTAGTACTTTTGACACTACAGAAGATTTCTGACAGTGTAAATCATTTCATGTACCCTCATACATTATGTTTAACTGCATATATTCTTTGTGGGTAACTATGATGCATCTTCAGTTTTAATACTGCATAAAGGCTTAGTATAAATGGACATAATTATATATTAGTGATTTAGTTCTTACTGTACAATGTAAGACGGTAGGACATTAATCCTGGGTAAGTCCACTGGTGTCTTAATAATCAGTAATTCAGAAAGTTTGGGAATCACTGTTGAATAAGATGCAGCTCACAGCATGTATATATTTATAATTTTTATGACTTTAATTTATTACATGAATGTTGATTTTTAAATTAAAATTAATTTAATACATTGGGGTCCCTGCAGTTGGGTGGGGGCCTGGCATTTTTGTTGTGACATTACTAACTTCCAAAGGAGATATAGTTGTGTATCATAGATCAATTACAGATTTTTCTGTCTTGCATTTTCAGTATCATGCCTGCGAATTGTATGCACAGTGTAATTTTCTTTGTGTGGTACCTTTCCATTAATGCACGATGAACTATTTGCTGTGCCGGTGAAATTTGCTGTTCCCTGACAATATCATGTTCTGTGTTTTACATGTCCCTTCTCCAGAGCACAGTGGTAGCTGTATGTACCACATTTTATAACATAAAAAAATCTGTATTGTACCCACACTGTGTATTTATGTGTGTCACATAATTCTCTGGGTAAACAGCGAATATTTCTCTAATCAGCCTAAAGCAACTGTTGTTTGTAATTGAGTTGCTTTATGTTTTCTATGAAGCAGGAGTTGAATCTTTATGTGTTATTTAGGTGAAATCAAGGCTTCAGAGGGCTAAATTGCAGGCAATTACAGTGCATCTCAAGGAGCTTTCAGTTCTACTACACCCTACTATGTTATGACTATTGAAATTGAAACAACCCTTAACTTACTGCTCATTCTTTTCCCGTTTCTTATTTATTTTTTTTTTTGCCCTCTTGCCACCCCTTACTTCATGTTGGTGCTGCAGCATGATTCAGTGAGCTCTGGCCTAGTCTGAATATACAGTTTTCTTCACTATGCAGCTCCATGATACTGCAGGCTAGATATGTTGCTGACTGCATTCTGGACCAGATTTGATTATATTTGTTGGAAGTGTGAAAAAATGTTTGAAGGACCCCACACCCTAGATTACTAAACCTGGCAAGAGACTTTAATAAATGTCAAAAGGCTAACTGGTAATTTTCCAGGGTGATCAGAGTAAGTGAAAAGGAGTAGTTTAACAGATATTTCAGTATATGAGAGTAAATAATATTATTGTCTCCTGGGAGGCGGTGCCATGTGATCTTGAGGATAGGTACCAGCATTTTGAAGGAACCTGCTGCCCACATCTTCAGGATCTCAAGAATAAAATTTATACATTGAAAAAGGATGCAATAGGTTTGCCCCAAACATTTGTACATGCTCTACTCTGAAGGTTGGGGCGGTATCTTCCTTTGAAATATTGGTACTTAGCTACCAAAGCGCGTGGTGTTGTTTCTGAGGAGAAAGTTCAGGACTCCCAGAACCCCCCTCTACTCCATGATAATCACAGACAACAAAAATAAATTCAATTTACCTTTTAATTTTTTAACTTCTGAGTTACAACATTTTACATTTTAAGACTAATATTCAAATGTAATGGAACACAAGAATCGTAATTAAGTTTATATTTATGACCACTCGTATGGATCCACATTGGTAATACAATTCGAGTAGTACATTTCATGAATACTGCCTAATAATTATCCAGCTGGATCGAAAGTGTAGGAAATGTACAAAATAAACAAATATTAATACAGTAATATTGGTTTATTTATTATGAATCTGTTGTGTTGATTGTATAATAATTCCTGGTACTCATTTCTGTTAGAGGCTGAGTCGACTCCAGGGCCATAGTGCGGCTGGAAGGATTTGGTCAACTGAAAACATTTCAATGACCTCATCGGGACTTGAACCCGCGACCTTCTGGCTTGTAGCATTGCCCCTCAACCAACTACGCTACAACGTTAACAGATAATTTATCTAAGTGCTATTCCTAAACCACTTATTAAATTCAGAAGGTGATTCTGTAATTAAATGATGGCAGTCGGTATAGCGACTAGCTACGGGCTGACGACTAATGGTGTTTGAGTCCCGGTAGCGGCAGGAATTTTCACTTTCCATGTCATCCAGACCGGCTCTGGGGTCCACCTAGCCTCCTATCCAATGGACACCAAGGGCTCTTCCCCCGGGGGTAAAACGGCCAGGGTGTGAAGCTGACCACTAACCTCCAACTAGCGCCGGGGTCAAGAAAACATGGGTCCATTACAGCCACTCCCCCATACGTCGTCATGACCCTCATGACCGCTCTTGACGCAGTGCTTAATTAATTCAGCGGAGGGGCAACTGTAACTTTTTTTTTCTTCGCATTACAGCCCCAGTGGGCCTAGGCCCATCTCCATGAACTTCTCCGAACTGTACCTTTATCTTACCCAAAAGGACTACAATCCGGTACTACTGCTCAGCTCTTATGTACGTGTACTATCTCCCTAACATTGGAAATTATCAATGAAAAAATATGTTTGATCACAAATATTTGTATTCAACTGTATATAATTACTTTCATCGCATATATAAAACATATCAAATCTCTTTGATAGATAAGTGACGTGCAGCACGAAAAAAAGTTTCAAAATATTTCGCTTCCCACCCTTACCGCCCTCACACCAGAGTAGGCAGATACCACCAAAGATAACAATCAAACATGGCTTATAGCGCAATATGTGTTCGGCATAGTTAGTGGTCATATGTTTGGAAGACCGATAAGCAAAATGTGCAGTATATGAATTAAAATACGATTTACAAGTACACAAGAACACTTTTGGGTAAGATGAACTGCTGAAATGAGAGCTGTTTATTTGTGCTTAATGTTACTTTTCGAATGCAAAGAATGTGACATATGCATTTACAATTTGAATATCGCAAGTAGTTTTACGTGAAGTCGTAAACTTGTGAACACACATTTTTTCTCCGCTTGTTTACGTGAAATGGTGTATAATTGTTTATAGAATCCACATTCTGTATTTTGTGTTGTATGGTGTCGTTTTCATAGTGTACCCCAATTTAGCCTTTATTGAAGAATAAAAATATTTTCATTCATGTTCACAGTCACAATGTCTGATCAGACACCACCAAACCCCTTAAGTGAAACTGATTTTAAGGACCTGAAGGACCGAATGAAACTCATAGCTGATGCTGATCCTAACCAGTATCATAATGAACTGTCTCTTAAAAGATACCTGAGGGCATTTAAGACAGCTGATGCTGCATTTCAGGTATTTCTTTAATGTGTAAATTTTAATTATGACTGTTTGTGTATACAACTTGAAATTAATAAGTAATGTTTTTTTTAAGGCAATACTGAAAACGAACAAATGGAGAAATGAATATGATGTGGCATCTCTAACTCAAGACAATCCTATTGTTAAGAAACATATGGAAGCCAATAAAGCTAGGGTTTTGAGGCATCGAGACATGGTGGGAAGACCTGTTATCTACATTCCAGCCAAAAACCATAATGCTAATGACAGGGATATTAATGACCTAACAAAGTTCATAGTCTACTGCCTTGTAAGTTGAGCATATGGAATATCTACAGAATAATAAACTGTTATATTAATGTGTAAATGATAAGGTAGTACTTGGAATACTCGTTGTATGATTCCTGTTTAGGAGTTTACTGGAGATCTTGAAGTGATTTTCAGTTAAAGTTCAGATTATGGTATGGGCCCCCCTGATGTTATGTAATCAAAAGCACCTTAACTAACCTAGCAAAACAAAATCAAATATGATCTGAAAGTAGAATTTTGGAAGCTAAATTAGTGCTATTGAATGTGCTGCACCTTATCCACATTTGTAATGTTATGAAATATTAGGCTGATCAAATGGAGGAAAATAAGACCAGTAGAGCATGTAACATACATAAAGTAAGTAAAGTAAAGCTATCCTGGTAACAGGCCGTGGAGGCTCATAGATGGTGGTAAGGTTGTTAGACTTACGTGCTGGCTGCCCTTTACCCCCAAGAATATTCCTGGTACTCATTTCTGTTAGAGATTGAATCAACCCTAGAGCCATAATGTGGCTGGAAGGATTAGGTAAATTGAAAAAAATCTACCTCATCGGGATTCAATCCCGCGACCTTCCATCTTGTAGCATAGTGCCCCAACCAACTATGCTAGTGAGAGATAAATGGCTACACAATTTTTGTTCAGGAACCTTACACAGTTTTGGTCCAGAACCTGGAGGGTGGTAACCACTTGGTTTGTCTAAAAATGAATTGGAGGGTAATATTAAAATGGATGTTACAGAAATAGGGTGTAAGGGTGTGCATAGGATTCTCTTGCTCAGGATATAGTCCTATGTCGGGATGCTCTGGATATTATAATGCATTTTTGGGTTCCGTGGAGGTTAGGGAATTTGTTCACTAGCTGAGCAACTGTTAGCCTGTCAAGAATATTGGGTCTTTTTAGAGTTTCTATGAATATGATTTCAGAATGAAATACACCCAACACTACAGGTTTCATGGACTTGCTTTCAGTTATTATGTTCAAGACCATATGTTGACTTGAAGCCAAACCCTTTTTACATATACTCTACATTCTGTTATCAACTGTGGAAGTTATACAGTGTTTGGTACAATTATCTTTACAGTACACTGGCCACTTGTTTACACTTTTTTGATGCATGATGTTCGGCCAATATTACACAGTTTAGTCCATATGTATTAACACATTGAAAGCAAATGTTATTGCTCTCATAAAACAAACAACAAAAACAGACTCCCTGATTTTAGTCTGCAAGTGAACTATACTGACCGAGCAACCTCTGCTTGTTGTCGGTGAAGTTTTAGTGCCAACTTTTGCGGATAGAGTGTGTCACATCAGCGCAACAAATCCCCACGGCTGTTAATTTCGTTTTTCTAGATCGGAGCTGCTATTTCATTGAACTAGCTCCTCAGTTATCATCACAAGGCTGAGTGGACCCCATTCCAGACCTACTACTTCTCAGAAAATCTGGTAATGCTGGGAATCGAACCCAAACCTCTGGATTTGTAGCCAGGAACGCTGACCGCTAGACCACAGAGGCGGTACTATTGTTCTCATATTTGAACATAATTTTGTGTTTAATTAGTATATCAGAATTCAGTGACAGTTCAGGTTACTTTCCATTAACTGTATATTTGTTATAGTAAAATCAAAACAAAAATGAACTCCATGACCCTTAGTCCGCAAGCGAACTGTACCATGAGTTAAATTAAAATTGTTGGAAAGCTTGATGTATGAGTATATACAGAACGGGCTGAAATGTGCAGTATTTGTTTAGTAAAGTTGTTCAGTGTGTAGAATGATTATGAGTAATGAATATATTTGGAACATGGAAGGAAGTAACTACAGCATTTCCAGAATGGACTGATGAATCTCAGTTAAGATAAACTCTCAAGTGCTTAAATCCCATCTTGATATCTCCTGAAAACTCAGTTAAGGCAATCTGTCAAGTGTTTAAATCTCATCATGATATGTCCTGAATACATGTCAGATGCATTGCTGCATTGCCATTATCCATTGTCTGGTGTATACTGGCCTGAGATAAGTAGGATCACAAACAAAACCCTTCCAGATGATCAGATCAGATGATAGAAGTGGTCCCAGTTGTTACATGCTCATTCCTTGCACCTGTGTAAGATGTTCACATTCATGTATGGAAGTATCTCTTTGGAAGCAGCAGGCTTCAAACTTTTCTCCTGTGCAGGGTGTCTATGAAATTGTCAAGAGAAATGTTCAGGCCTAGCATGGATATCAGCCAGTTTCTATTCAGTGAGCATTGGCATTTTGGTTCAGGTCTTTTGTCCAGTAACAGCTTTCACCATCTAAGTATGTTTGCAATTGTATGAATAGTTTTTTTTTTAATTTGAAAATGTAACACCCAGTTGGTTGAAGGGCTATGCTACAAGCCAGAAGGTCATGGGTTCAAGTCCTGATGAGGTAATTGGATTTTTTTCAGTTGACCTAATCCTTCCAACCGCACTAGGCCCTGGGATTTACTGAGCCTCTAACAGAAATGAGTACCAGGAATTAATAAAATAATTTTCCTGGGGAGTAAAGTGCAGCTGGCGCGTAAGGCAGACAACCTTACCGCCATCTTTGAGCCAGTTGTATAGATAGTGTGGGACCCTCAACATCTCACAACCCTATGGGCTTTCATGGCCTGGTACAGGGATAGCTTTACTTTTTCTTTACACCCAGAAATTTATGCCAGAATGTTATCTTAAATCTGCAAGGGTATAATACCAGGACACTTGTTTCAGTGTATCACTTTCATGTGGCATTTTAATACAAGAAGTAACATCATTGATTGAATATGGTAGGAGGATCTCGGAATCATGGTTGTATCTGCTCAGAGATTTATTGGTGTTAATATTAAATTGGGATGTGAACAGGCCATTCACCTGTTGACTGCAACAGAGGTGTAAACAGATGTTATTTGGCATGAGTAGTTGTGTCCCTTCTGGAGGACCAGCTGAAGCGTATTGGGCAGGTTCTCAAATAACCTCCCAGTATATAGTTATGACAGGTTATATTTGATGACTGAAAATAAATGCATTTCATATGGAATACAGTGATAATGACTCTAAATTCAAGATGATGGGCTAACTTCTTTCATATTCTGAAAATACATATATTTTTTTTTTCTTGAACATCACTTCAGATTTGAAATGCACAATAGGATCCTTGTGTTAGATACAATGTGGCAACCATAGATAAAGTCATTCCATAAATGATGTAAGGGTAACTGACATGTTAATGATGATAATCGTAGATAAACAATACTAAATTTGCTCCTACTTCTGGTGCTGCTGCTGCTGCTACTACTCCTACTACTACAACACATCCACTCCCCCATATGCCTTCATGGCGTAGTGCTTAATTTGTTAAGCACAGGGACAACTTTACCTTTACTACTACTGATGCTGCTGCTGCCACCCCCACCTGTTAATCGGTGTTTAGTAATATAAATTGTACGGTTGCTCAGTTCAGACTGCGGAAGTCAGTGAAGGGATCTGAGAGCAGTAGGAATGATGGTGACAGAGATCAGTGGAGATCTCTGGATTGAGATCAAAGTCTGGGTCTGTGGAACAGACATTCAGATCTGATTGGTTTATTTGGATCAGCACATCTGTATATCTCATCCGTTTTCGTCTGATTAAAACTCTTTCATTTTGCACACAGACTTGGAGCATATTGTTATATAACTGTGATTGTTCATGATCCATTAATCATGAATTTGCTTGATACTGAATCTGAAAAATGTATAGTTATGTTGGATTTGCGTTTCTCACGGCAGTAGCTATGAAGAGTACTATTTTCAGGGATGTCAGTCAGTAGCATCAGTAATATTGGTACATTCCACAAGACACTATTCATCAAAAGTATAGTTGTTTGTTCTTTATGAAACATGCAGACCACAACTGTATCCACCAAAGAAACAGCATTTTTTACATTGTGTGTACACTGTTTGGTGATACTTACGTTACTAATACACATAAAATGCCTCTTTCCTGTTGACTGAATTCTATAAAGCATAAATATCTTCTAATTTATATTTTAAGTTACACTTCCTCGTCTCACAGCAAAAACACTCTCTCTTTCACAAAGACCAGTTTGTTTAATGCAGGGAAACAATGACTGTTTATTGTGAGGATCACATGAAAAACACTCTGTGGGCAATATGCTGAGTTCTTTTGTGTTAACCCTTTAAAGTCCAGTGGTTACTGTATGTACCAGAGCAGGGATAGTTCAGGTGGTTTAATGATGGGCTACAGGCTGGGCAGCCAGGGTTCAATTCCTGGCATGAGCAGTGGATTTTTCTCTACTCTGGTGTCCAGATGAGCTCTAGAACCCACCCAGCCTCCTATCCAGTGAGTACTGGGCTCTTTCTGCAGAGTAAAATGGCCAGGGCATGAAGCTGACCCCTCACTTCCATCTAGTGCTGAGGTTAAGAATGGTGGAGCTATACCTCTGCTCTCCCATACACCTTTATTGAGTGGTGCTTAATAAATTAATCACGGGGACAACGATACCTTTTACTACATGTACCATCTGCTTTGCTTCCCTATGAAGCATTAAATGATAGCATTTTTATTGATGGTGGTGTAGTGCTTTCTGTGAGATACAAATTGAATTTTTAAATATCACGTAAATTGGTGGTGTAATGAATATTATGTTTTGTGATGTGTTACGGTGAAGCAGAAGTGGCTCTGACTTTTTGTGACAGACCCCTGACCCCTCTTCTTATCAAACGGGAGGCCCCACTTCTTAAACTGTAAATGCCAGTAATATAGAATTAAAATATGGTCATGAGTCCCATCAGAACTCATATCCAGGCATTACTGTGCTGGCTGGAAGGCCAGGAGAAAATACAACTTTGCTCTCCTCAGGCATTAAAGGGTTAACACTGGTGGTACATATGCTTTAAATAGTTTTAACTACTCAGCATTCTTCTTGCAATCAATATCTTATTGACATATGTTTCTGTAACACAGGAAGAAGCGTGTAAGAAATGTTTTGAAGAGGTTGTGGACAACTTATGCATAGTGTTTGACTTGAAGGAATTTGGATTGAGCTGTATGGACTACCAGATGATCAAGAATTTAATCTGGTTGTTGAGTCGACACTATCCAGAACGACTTGGCATATGCCTTATACTGAATGCTCCTGCATTGTTTTCAGGTTGTTGGGGTATTATCAAAGGATGGTATGTATGATTTACAATTATGTGTTGGAAGCATTATAGAAATATATGAATTTTGACTAATTTATATTGTTATAGGAAGTTTGAATAGGTGGAAAAGTTAGGTCAGCCATAAAATGTATTTCAGTAATTTGAATTGTCAATCATACAATTTTGAAAATGTTTTGTTTAATTATCCTCAAAACTGCAAGGATTTCAGAAAAAATGTATTGGATGTAAAATATGTTTTATTTTTCTCTACAGCTTTTATTCAGAACATTTTTTGCTTGAATAAATACAAGTATGTAAGGAGTCATGTTCACAATACACACAGATGCATGTGTCTCTTCATGTGAAGTGTCCTCTGTTTTGTTCCAGTCAACAAAAATTGGAACAGGACAGATTTAAGTAAAATTCCCCAATAAGAAATTTCATGAAAATCCATTTAGCAGTTTCTGAATTGTTTCATGCGTACAGATAGACTAAGCAAACTTAGTAGGTTCTGCAGGGTTTAAGATGCACTTAAAATCTTTCCATTTAACAGGAATCAGGAATCTGTTCCCCTTCATACAGGCCATAGCCACTTGCTTCACTGACTGAGATATCCCATCACAGGCTTAAAATTATTGGAGTTGGCATTTAGTAGTGAATTATTATGAGAGTTAATTCTGTAATGTTTTCTTCTCTTAAATAGGCTGGATGAGAATACATCGAGTAAAGTTGTGTTTGTTAATAGTGAAGAAGAACTGTGCAAGTATCTTATACCTGACATTTTACCAGATGACATTTAGAATCACCAATTTGTATTCATATGATGGCTCATCTTTTTTTTTTTATGTTGGATTGCAAATGTGCATGAGGTATAAATTTGTTCAGTGCATCTGTTGGACTTTGAAAGGTGCTATTGATCATGACACCACTCTTACTGGAAATGCTTGATCAAATTTGAGTCAGTACTTAATATCTTCTGTATTCTTCAAACAACAATGAAAATTGATTTTTGAATGTTATTCATGTGACTCTGCACTGAAAAAGGGTCACTGTTGTATGTCTGGTCCTACATATCTCATGTTAATGGATGCATCGTTTAAGTTGTTGATTCTGTTTTAATCAAGAATGGACATGATATGACAGTACACTTGATTTATAGTCCATATAAAATAAAGGATATGTACATACATATTTGCACATATATTGAAAGTTAGAAATTTAAATGTCTATCAGAAAGAAATTGTGTATAGTTGCTTTATTTAACTGTTATCTCACTCACTCATGGAACTGAGCCCTTCTTGAGAAGCTGCCAATTGCACAGCTACTCAAGAACTTCCCAGAATAATTGGCAGGCGTATGTTAGCTATGACAGAAGTGGTACTCTTTTTAACTAAGTGCAGCCCCAGCTTTAGAGAATAACAAAGTGGATAATTAGATGTTTTCTTACAACAGATTTGAATTGATCATGGAAACTTTTTATGTTCTAAGAATAAAATACTCATAAAACATATGAAAATTATTAGAGGTGCTATATTGAGGTTCCCGGACTGAGCAAAAAAATGCTGGCTTAACTTACTCAATTTTGGTTGCCGTCTTCTTCAGAATAGTCTCCTTGGGGACATATACAGCAATCCCATATTTTTTTCCACGTTTAAATCATTTTCCTAAATCCTTAAATTCCCTTTTGATGTCGAGACACTTTCAAAATGTCATCCATTCAGTTTCATTTTCAATTTGGGATACAAAGCAAAATCACAAGGGCCTAAGTCCATCTGGTATGGAGGATGGGGAATGATAAAGGCTGCACCATAGCTCAGGCAGTTAGTCACTGGCTTCCCACCGCAGCAGCCTGAGTTTGATCCTGGGTCTGGTCAAGTGGGATTTGTGGTGGACAAAGTGGCGTTGGGGCGGGTTTTCTCCGAGTACTTCGGTTTCCCCTGCCAATCTTCATTCCACCAAATTCTCCATCATCATAATCACCCAGGGCAGGCTACAATAGGCCAATCAGTGGCTGAGTGGACCCAGTTGGACTCCACCCCCCACTAAGCGAATTAAAAAAGAAAAATGGGGAATGATAACCATGTTGTTAGTTCCAAACTCTGGGGTTTCGGGGAAGTGTGGGCAGGTGCGCTGTTGTAATGAAGAAGCAGTGAGGCACATGTTCAAATTTTCTGTTAAGATCTCCAGGCAAACTCCATAACTGATCCCTGTTCAGGGATGGTCTTTGTGGATGAGTTCTTGAATTTTTTCAACATTTTCTGTTGTTTTGCTGGTGCTTGGTTCCCCTGAATGTTTCTCATCTTCAACTGACACTTGATGGGCCTTGAAACATAAATGCCATTCAAAAACCACTGTCTGGCTTAAAGAATGTTCTCCAAAAGCCTCACGAAGCATTTCAAGGGTTTTGGTAGTGGATTTACTGAGCTTCACACAAAACTTTATGCAGACACGTTACTCAATTTTGCCATCCATTTCAGACAGAACAAAGCACGAAGTCAAAAAAGGACTCGTGTAAAAACAGTACATGGTGTTACGTGGCAGAGTGATGCAATAGGCTTGCGGAAATGTGACCTTACAACAATAACAATCTGGGAACTTTCTGATATGTACTTTTGAAACACTTCATGGATTTTGTGCTTATAGAATGACTGGGTTATAATGCTGCCAGATTACATTACAGTTTGTCAATGCCACTTCAAAATAAAAGAGACTGTAATTGAAAAGTATTAACATTATTCATATTTCTCTTTAGATGATTTTCTGAAATGGCCTTTATATAAAACTGATCTTATTCTTGCTGTTGACAATGCCTTGAAAGAAGGAAATGTACTGAAGACATATATATATCCGTATAAAGTGTATTTTTGTGGACCACTTTCTGTCTTGTTCAGTATATAAATGGACTGTGTAACTATTAATTTAAATGTTTCATATTAATGTGTTGTCAAAACTATACTGGTATAGTTTACAAAAAATACAGATGTATGGAAGCAGTGTTTGGAATCAAGTAGAAGTTAATACTTAAATTCTTGTTAGTTTTGTAATGCATAGATAATATGTATACCTATATTTGCATTTATATTTTGAAATTGATTTTTGCTGTATGAATTAGTACAAAACAGTGATATCATTTTACTTGCTTTTTTTATGTAACAGTTGTGATACAATGAGGCAGACTACTTTGTTCTTTACGTATGTTTTACCGTGTAGAATGCAATTGTAACAATTAAAGCAGTATGTATTACAAGTTCCCCATGTTCATATTTCCCATCTATGTACCTGTGGGTTGTTTTTATGAAGAACTGAGCCTCAACGATCTCTTACGTTTTTTCTGCAGGGACGCTGTGTAGAATGTTGGTGGCATCTCTGCAGCAGGGTATGTGCATGGCCTTATATTGTCATTCCCAAAAGTCATGAGATAGGTACCTAGTATCATGTAGGACACTCTCTAGCCCGGCGAAGTGCAGCAACTCGACGTGGCATCGATTCCACAAGTGGACGGAATACCCCTGGAGAGATGTTGAGCCATGCCATCTGGATAGTCACCCACAGCTCCCTGGTATTTGTAGGTGCAGGATTTTGGGTGCGAATGGACCTCTCCACCATGTCCCATAAATGCTCGACTGGGTTCATGTCAGGCGAACGTGGTGGCCACACCATTCATTGGAACTCTTCAGAATGCTCCTCAAACCAATTCTGGACAACTTCGGCCAGATGCCATGGTGCATTGTCCTGCTGGAATATCCCCTCATGAGGGTACATGAAGTCCATGAAGGGCTGCAAATGGTCACCAAGCAGTGTAACGTAGTGGTCACTGGTCAATGACGTGTTTAGGTGGACGAGTGGACCCAAATCATGCCACGTGAACACACCCCACACCAGTATGGAACCACCACTAGCCTGCAGGGTGCCTTGTTGTCAACTGGGGTCTGCGCCACACCCGAACCCTGCCATCCGCCCGAAACAACTGGTACTGTGACTCATCGGACCATGCCACATGTTGCCAATCCTCCAGGGTCCAATTAGCGACATCACAATCCCAGGTGAGGCGCTGTGTCCGGTGTCGTGTTAACAGAGGCACTCTGGTCGGTCTTTTGCTCCCATATCCCATGGAAGCTAAAGAACGCTCCACTGACCTGCTGGATATGCGTCTGGTACCTCCTGCATTGAATGTGGATGTGATTTCAGCCAGTGTTGCTTGTCTGTTACACGGACAATTCTAGCTAGATGCGGCTGGTCACGATCATTAGGCACCTGTGGTCGGCCACTGCGCTGTCCACGGTGGGTGGAAATGCCTTCCACAAGGTATTCCTGGTACACATGTGACACCATGGATCAAGGAATGTTGAATGACTGCACAACTTCGGAAATGGAATGTCTCATCGACCTGGCACCCACTATAATTCCCCGTTCAAACTCCGATAATTCACGTCGGCTTGCCGTGAGCAGACTGGCTGGTGTTCAACCTGACTCATGAGAGAACACCTCACAACAGATACTGCTCTGGGCATTCCCAAGCCGTCGAGGGACAGTAGTGCCACTTAAAAATAAATTTACATACTGCTATCCCATGACTTTTGGCACTTGAGTATATACATGTATTCTGTTGTGAAAGGTTTACAAGCTAGAGCTATTTCACCGTACACCACACTGTACACTGTACAGATGAGCAACATGCCATGTCCTCGCACGAGTTGCAGAGTGCATTGATGTTGACAGTGGAATTTTCGGAAATGTACTATTATACTAGGTGAACTGTACCAACTTTATCACTCGAACAATACGTGCTGGTATTAGGAACAGTGAGTGATTTCTCTTTCTTATAAACCATTTCAGAACTGTATAATGAAATAACTTTATCTCGGAAACCATTCAGAAAAAGGACATATATTTATACATTTTTTTTTGCTTAGAAGGACCAATACTATGGCCTCCCAGAATATTGACCTTTCAACCTGGGACATTCTGTATAGAGAGTGGACTCAGAAATGAGGGTTGTCTTACACAGGGAGAATATTACTTAGATATAATGTTATCAGGATGTCTTTAATATCTGTACACCACTGCAGAATGTTGTTAATGTACGAGTAGATAGGTAAGTTTATAAAACTTTAGTTATAATTTAAAATGCTCAGTAAAAAAAATAAAGCTATCCCTGTAACAGGCCGTGAAGGCCCATAGGGTTGTGAGACGTTGAGAGTCCCACATTATCTAGACAATCTGCTCAAAGATGGCGGTAAGGTTGTCAGCCTTACATGCCGGCCGCTCTTTACTCCCCAGGAAAATTATTTAATTAATTTCTGGTACTCATTTCTGTTAGAGGCTAAGTCGACTCCAGGGCCATAGTGCGGCCGGAAGGATTAGGTCAATTGAAAAAAATCTAATGACCTCATCGGGACTTGAACCCGAGACCTTCTGGCTTGTAGCATAGTGCCTCAACAAACTACGCTACTTACTACGCTAAAATACTTAGATAGTAAAATTTAAAAATTAAACACTAAAGGTTAAAGCATAAAAATTAAAATAGCACTAAAATGAAAATTAAATATTTTGCAATGAATCTCTTTAAAACTTTGTTACCGCTACGTGTTGACGTGATTTTCTGGCGATAGAAGCGACTGTAGTGTGGGGCGCCTGCGTATTGGGACCTTCTCACATAAGTTAGATCGTGTGGACTTGACCTTACTGAAGTCTTGTGGAGCTTATGCTCGTTATTCTGTATGTCTCCCAACAGGTTGTTTATGTGGAGTGATTTGTAAGTGTATTTTAATTATTATAAGACGAAACCTGTGAGTGTGATGTTATTAAACTCGTTATTAGATTATTTGGTATATTTACTTATGTATATTAGATTTTCTAATGATGATATGTGTACGGGCTGCTCCCTGTGTTCATGCAGTCGCTGTGTTATAGCGGTTCCATTTAGATTACTTGTTTCTGGGGTATCTGCACATGTGCATATGTTTGTGTAGATCCGACTGGTATGAGGTTGGCTGGAGGATACTGTGAGTGGTTGAAGAGATGGGGGAATAGATGGGATTATTTGGTATGTATATTTTTACTATAATATCGAATATGAGGTTATGTATATCTGTAAATATATCGTTCATCTGTAGACCTCGTATGATATCTTTCTAATGTAATGAGTTTGGGTCTCTTCCTTTCTATATGTAATACTTTGATGGCCTGGTCCATCATGTCAAATATATGTCCAATTTCCAAAATGTGTTCTGCGAATTTACAATGTTGTTTATTAGTCCTGTCTGTCCGATATATTTGAATGGGCATTCACCGCATTGTAGCTGGTATATACCGCTAGGGTTGTATATATTTCCTGGAATTCCTTTACATTTCAAATGGCGTTTGATTGTATTAGTCGTCTTGTAGGCAACTTTAAGGTCTGTGTTCCGAAATAAATTAGTGACGGTTCTAATTTCTGGTCCAAATTATGTGAAGGTGGCCCATTTTGTTTTATAATTTTTGTGTATTTAGCCGTGTTTGTGTAGAAATTATGGGGACTTCATTTTGGTGTTGGAAATTTGTGGGTAGTTG